ATTTCATGTGACGACTAAGAAGTCAAATAAAGGAATGATCTTTTCGAAGCTAACATGATAAAATATGCTTGCGGAGAAGATGCAGAGCTAAACAGAGAATACTTGTTTCAGATTTAATTAGCGAGGATTTAAAATACCAGGAACGGCCCTGGCTAAGTTTGATTATAGAGCTGCGTCCAAAGCTTCGTTGGATGTTATTTAGATTACTAAAAATAGATAAGCTTGCCCAGTTAATCAGGTAACACACTATTTCGATGATGGTAGCTTAACGAAACTGCTTAAGCAGGTAAGTACATTAAATCAGAGACAAGCTCATACTGACCAAATAACTCCAGCAAAATGATCAGGGACAATGCTGTTTGTAGTCATGCAAGCAGCTATTCAACATACTTGTCGCAGTAGCGCTGGCTACTCAACATATGTAAGGGACTATTTTCAAGGTGAATAAGACTAGATTTTAGTAGCATGATTATTTTGTCTATTGACGGCGACCATAGAGAAACCTTGGTTATAAACTGGAGAATATAGGGCCAATCATGGACAATGATAACCTTAAAGAGCCCCAGTACAAAACAAATTTTTTTAATGCTAAAGGACTCAAACAATCAATGCCTGATTAGCCGGTACCAACTAGATCGATTTAGTTTCTAAGGCTATTGTTGATTATAAGGGAGGCCTAAGCCCGCAACGAAAAGTAATAATGCAAAGCACAAATGGAAAATTATAGCTTAGTGCTAAAAAAGTTTGAGAAAATGTTATGCTATCCTAGTTGGGCACTAGGCATACAGATAACTGCAAAAACGCTCATAGGTTGAGTTGAATAACAATGTTTCTCCAATGACCTAATCCATAATAAAAGTGCCTTTGCATGGGTAAAACGTATCTAGTTCATCGGAACTTATATATTGGATGTATATCTACAAGAGCGACATCTGCTGCTACATCTTGAAAAATTGTGACTAAGTTGAACACATTTAACGACAGTTATAGTAATAGACTCACCAGGAGAAACAGCATTTACTAATATACATAAAATTGGCCTCACTAATTTGGATAGTAGAGAAATAAATGCCACAACTAAATATAAGATAAAAATTTTTTCAAAAAAATTATGGTTATGCGTATAAAATAGCATATCAGCTGCGTCAGATGTGATGAAAGAATAAATATCAATAGCTTTCACAATTTGGTGAGTGTAATTATAATAATCAAAACAGTCATGATCAAAGGAATCTAGATAACACATCTAAATTAGTAATCCCTAATGACAGAGAAAACATTCTGAAAAACAGAAAGAAGAGTAGAAAGACAAGCAGCTTTAAGGTAATTATTAAAACAGCTTTAATGAAAATAAAATTAGTATAGAATTTGGGAATGCCAGAGTTAATTGCAATTGTATAGCTTTGAAATTAAATAAAATTCAATACAATTGTTTAATAGAAACAAGAGACATTCTATACTAGTCGCAGTAGTATAGTTGTATGGAGTCGTGATTAATTGAGTTATTGCATTCCACGTACTACAAAAAGATAAGGCACAAAACCGTCGTACTGCATTGATACAATGATCGGGAACGATTAAAGATGAGAGCTAGTATAATATACACATAAAAGAGTTAACAAAAGAATGGAAAAATAAATTAATTTTAAGCATTATTTTCAGCGGGCGAATAGTGGGAAAAATGATAGATTAAGACTGTTTGCATTTAGGAGGTTAGAAGAGAAGCATATTTATGTTAAAACAAAATAATATTTAAGAAGGCTAAGCAGTATACCAGAGTTATAATCACTAAAGGTAAGTTAACTAAAAACAAGATAATTAATAAGTGATAGACTCACAGCAATAAAAGTGGTATTAGATGATATTGACCCAAGCCGAATAGTAAGGAAGACAAGATGTTGATGCAATACACATGAAGTAAAATATATGTCATTCATAAGTTAAGCAATATTATCTGGCTTGAAAACAACCTGTCATATACAAGATACCATAAAGGAGATAGAGGGCAACCTTAAGAGAAGTTATGCTAAAGAGAAGTTATGCTAAAGAGAAGTGCTGCAATTATTTGCCCTGCCTTACAGCTAAGCATATCTATAGCCTCTGCGACTTATGTGGCCCAATTTGTCCATAAAGAGTTAAAAATTTGAATCTGAAAAAGACAAAATAGATAGCTTAAGAAAACTCATAAGCCTGTGAATTCTGTGAAATGTGCTCACAGTAATGCTTTAAAGCGAACTATTTTAGATGATCCAAGAATAGAGTAAGTAGGTAACAGAAAGAATGTATAACAGTAACAAGCCCTAATTATACTTAAGAATTAAATCTTTTAACAAGCCTCATTTTGTAGAATAAATCTTAATGATAAATAAGCAAAAACACATGGACAAACCAGAATCTAGTCTATCTGGTTAGGTTGCGTCCATCAGAATAAATGAACTCATTAGATAGAGAGAGTACAGTTGGAATAGAAATCCTGGCTCGTACAGCCTCAACGTTATCAGCTTCGTTAGCTGTTCTTCTGTTGGTATTACAACTGTCAGCACCATTAGGAAGAACGTTCATCAAGGGTAAGCCGAGACCTTTAGGTATTCTCTTTTTCTCAGCAGGCATTACTACCCGGACAGGTATATCAAATTCTATACCAGCACCTACAACGTCAGCCACTTTCCCAGAAGTTAAGGTGGAGAAGCCAGTTTGGATATCAGTGGATAGCCACTTAGGCGATGCTTGTTCAGGCGAGAGTGGGCTGGCATTGTTAACTGGCAGCGGTGAACAGCTAGGAGATGAGGAATAGTATGTGAAACCGGCGGCTGAAGCGGGGGGATTGCTGCTGTTTGTGAAGGTGGATAGGCCGTAACAAGAGAGAGAAAGCGAAGGCCCACGAACAATCGGTCCCAATTCGGGTACGATCTGATCAGGCAGATTTTCCAGCTGAAGATAAAATTCTGTGGCACGGAGCAGAATACTCGTGAGATTGATACGCTGGCTTAGGTCATTAAGATGCTAGAGCCAGAGAAAAAGAAACCGCGAGGTTTGAATAAGTCATTTGGCGAGAATCCATGAGAAATATAAGATTAAAATAAACGGAAAGAAAGCAAAGCAACGCAGAACTAGATCGATTACTCGAACTTTTAATAAGGTAAGCAATGTGATAAAGTGATTGCTAAGTCAAACTTAATCTTTGAGTTAACCAAACAGTTACAAAGTTCGGAAAAAATTTTTAAAGCAAAATACCGTTAACTCTATCCAAGAAACAGTCATGAATGCTTAAAACGTGAGTCTAGAGAAGTGAGAAACAATCGAGCTGAAAGCAATATATCGTTGGAACTTATGAAAGCAGAGCAGTAGTTCAATGCAATATAAAGGAAAAAATGGCAGCCAAGGTCGAGATATCGTGACGAGTGTGAATCTCTCTCAAGTGGAAATTCTGAGAATTATGAATTAAGATGACTGTAGATAAGAAGGATTTTCATTATACATACATGAATGTAGTTTTGTTGAGTGTATCGACTATGAGATCATGTCACCAGCAGCCACCCAAACTTTACGAATCCTAAGTATTGTTAATGAACAAAAACAGCAAAATGAGGAACCGAACCACCTCAAAAAAGCCCAAATTTGGCCTCATGATTAGGTTGATTCCTTCATTCAAAATTATTATAATTAAATATTTTATATCTTTATGTAAAATTTTCATTAATATGCGCTTTAGTAGATGAGGGCGGAATGCGAAGGATAGAGTGCATTAAAGAGACTAAAAATAAACAAAAAAGGATAATGACAAGTATAAATGAAAAGCTTACTTTGAGAATTCCGTTAACATCCAGTTTGCGCTCCATGATATTCTGCTTTTCACAACTGAGAATGGCTGCCGCAAAGAACAAATGGAAGTTGGGTGTGAAGTAATCCGACCAAAGCACCTAGGTGACAAGAAACAACAAAGATTATTTATTAAGACCACTAGCAATTAAGACCTCTGTCATAACAAGCAACATAATTTCAAGCTTGAGACCGTAAACTTGATACCTTCCCAAAAGTATCACTGGCAGCATAGTCATTGCCAATGAACTTAGGTATTTTTAGAACCAAGCTACAACTTGACAATATACAAGTGAGGCACATTTCTCGACCAACTTTCTGTTCCAGTACATGTCCACTATTACCTCGTTGAGAAGACATTAATTTGGTATGAAAGTGCATGAAGATATTCGAAGGTAAATCTCACCAGAATACGAGGGCTGATTGACGTTGTACTGCAACCGTTTGGCTTTTCTATGACGTTCGAGAGGACGCGGTCCATGGGACATCTTCCTTCGTTTCGGATAAAAACGAGATGAGCCTTAGTCCATTATATAATGGATAACACAATGCTGGAACTCATTCTTATAAGTCTCGAATTAACACTGTGTTTAGAAGACTGTCTAGCCTTAACTTACCTCATATATACCCATAACTAAAAAACGAAAATGTGTACACACATATATATATATACTAGTTTTGCTAAATCCATTTCATATTGTTCATAGAACTGTTATTCATATTTGTGTGTGTATGCATTAACGTATATACGTAATACCTTTTATCATGGCCGATTTTTGAAAATATAGGCGAACTAATGAGAAAGCGAAAAATAAAAACAATATCCAAAGAAACCCTCATGCTTTCTTCTGTTGTCATTTTTTTAAAGAGATATGACAAAAAAAGATATAGCTGTTATATGAGTGTGCTACTGTGGCTGACCTTGTGTTTGTGAGATATATTAAACAAAAATTAGGTGAACAGAAAAATGCTTATAAAGACAGCTGAGTCCAACGGTCAGAAGTGACCGAACAGATTTAAGATAAATGGTCTCAAACGCCACCCTATCACAACTTCTCATTTGTTTACATTCCACTCGTAAACATGTGTGCTCTTTTGTGACAAATCTAGTGTGGCCTCATTACACTTGCTATTTACTCCGACCCCTCTTTGTCGATTGGCTTATCCGACTCAGGCCTCCACTTCGGATCCCCTCATTCTCTCATAGATCCGTTCCTTATCTTTCTGGATGACCAATTTCACTCGGTTCCAGTCCCTGTGCACATTTCACTCTAGGCTCTATTTCTCAAAGCCATAGAAGCACGTACACTGCCGCTGTACTGACCTTTTTAGACTGTTGTAAACGTTATGGTATCACTCCTAAGTTATGTGACCTTAAGAGAACCTAAAACTCGTATAAGGTTAATGAGTATCTCCACAAAGCTTCTATTGAGAAACTAAGTGAGATCTATGATACTGAGCGGTATAAGTTGTTTAAGTTTATAGATATTAAGTCAAAGCTCCTGCGTGAGTTGGGCAGGATCCTGTCTCCAGAAGATTTTCCAAAACTCCATAGCATGATCGACAGGAAATCACGTAGGATTTCTGACTTAATGACAAAACGGCATGAGGATAAATTGCGTATGTTTGGGATTATAAGACAGCCTAAGTTGAAGCCAGTACACCCAGTTAAGTGACCTCCGAGGTGAAGACACCTACTGATCAGCACGAGGATAGGAAGAAAGTACTAAACTTATCATCAATTCCTCTCAATCTCGAAATAACCGCGTTCCTGAAAAAAGGACTCCATTATTCAATTCAACATCACAGAAGCCTTCTAGGAGACATCTTGATGGAGGTTATCAATGTCGCCGACAAGTTCTGAGGAGACAAAACGGGAAATGTATATGGCACAAATTCCAAAAAGCTTGACACATCAGGAGCCTACACACAGGAACAGATTTGTCGTTAACGCAAAACCCTGTAAACGACTGAACAATTAGTCCTTTAGGTGGACAAAGGAGGAGCTACAGTGATAATGGACAAAAAAAATATACCCAGAAGATTGTGCCTATTATACGAGACAGGATCAGATATCCTATACTAAACAAGGAACCAACTATGAAGATCAATGGAATCTTAAGTGACATGCTGAAGGATATGAATAGGAATAGGGAAATTGACGCATGGACAAGAAATTCAATAATAAGAAAGGATGCACGACCGCCAACAGCATACGGATTGTCAAAGATACACAAAGAAGGCGAGTCACTAAGGCTGATAGTCAACAAAAAGTATAGAGCAATACACAAATTGGCAAAGTTTATATGTTTGAAACTTAAGAAATTAAATGAAACATTCAAATGAATTTTCTCAAAAAAATCAAAAACATGTCACTGGAAGAAACAGACTTATTGGTAAGTTTCGATGTGGAATCAATTTATACAAATATCTCTGGAGAAAATGCGCTAACCGCCCTGCTGGAAATCCTGGACCGAGAGGAAGATATCCTGGAATGAAAACGGATCGGTAGGGAGTCTCTAACAAGACTAATCAACTTGACAATAAGGACAACCTACCTAACATTCAGCGGGAACATCTAAGAACAAATATTTGGACTTCCCAAGGGATCACCGTTCTCCCAACTTTTGGCAAACGTATATATGAACAAAATAGAAGAGAGCTTTAAGATGGCACAGCTACAACCGGCAGTGCTTATGCGGTACCTGGATGATTACTTCGTACTTTGTCACATGTAAATGGAAAACTGGAAGAGTTTCTGAAGTTTGTAAACCAGATTGATGAAAAATTCAATTCACGATAGGAGTAGAGGAATGTGAGCGGTTACCGTTCCTGGATGTTAAAGCGATTCGCTCTAATGGGACGCTCAAAAATAAATTGTTCAAAAAGAAGTCCG